TAAACAAGATTAATTTAGAATTTAAAATTTAAAGGTATTTTTCTAAAATTCTTCCAAAAATCAATTAAATTAATATAAAATAATAAAAATTCATTAACTATTGTCTCTCGGTCTTTCAGGTGAGATGGTTGTTTCATTTTTGAAAGGCCCTTCAAGCTTAATCAAGGCCCGGAGCAAGCCATTCGAACCTAAGGCCCATGAAGGGAAAACAAACCGGCCCAATAAAAGGGTGGGGAAGAAGGATGGCTAAACATTTAAGTTAGAAAATGGGAATAAAATCTGTCCTTTGCACCCAAAATAAAAAGAGCATGGATTACTAAGTGGGGTTGGGTTTAGGGGGAAAAAAAAACTAACCTCTCATAATGTGAAGAACAAAAGTTTGACAAACGGGGGTTGGTCCGAGTGGTAAGCGGCTCGGTTCTGCTTAAGTGAGGTCTCGAGTTCGATTTCTCATGGATGCAAAAAACCCCTGCTGGGAGACTCACCCACCATACCCAGGTGCGCGACGCGGGTCGGATCCGGATGTAGTCAGAGCAAAGCTCTGGTGAACGGGTGGGGAACCAAAAAAACAAAAGAACAAAAGTTTGAATTCTTCTTGAAAGATATACCTATATTTAGTATTGGACGATATCTCAAATAAGATTGTCTCTGACAGAAAGATACCTATGTGTAAGGAAAAATTTAAAAAAAAACGAATATGATTTATTCAGAAATTAATGCAGGATAAAACATAAAATAGTTATATAATCATATTTAAAAGATTAATAAAGTTTAAGTTTTTTTTTTGTTTTGAGCAAAATACGTTAGAAGTACTACCTCCGGTCCTAATTATAAGACCCAGTTGACTTATTTGAGGAGATTAAGGAAGTAAGTTAAGTTAGTTATTTGTAATAAATAAGTGTTGTCATTCCTAAAATATCCTTGCTAATTAAGTATATTGGCTAGAACTATCATTATTAGAAGGATTATCTTGAAAAAATATATAAATATGAGAGATAAAATAGATTGGGGTCTTATAATTAGAACCAAATAAAAAATCAAACAGGATCTTATAATAAGGATCGAAGGTAATAAGAAGGAAAAGTCAAGAATACGGAAGTTGCATAGAAGACGTAATCTGAGTGTGGCCTCATCAATGGCAGCTCAAAGCACAAGAAAGCGGATTTATCTTGTTGGAGTGGTTCTGTCCATAGCGATAAAGCTTGGGGACTTCAGCCGTCTCTCAACCGGTAATTTTCGATGATCCCACACTTTCATGTCTATATCTGCTGCTTCTTGTTTCTTGCGTTTTCAGTCAAATCCATCCCCATCTTATCTTCAGGCCCAAAAGACATGTTAATGTTATGGTCTCTACCCATTTTGTCCCAGGCCGATATTCCTTTTCTTAAAAAAAAAAAAAAAAACTGTATATTATATTGTTTTAACGAGTTGATTGATGAGAAAAGTTTAAAACTCGAATAGAAAATTATATTTTTCTTTTATATTCTCTTATTAGAGACAATCTTATTCGATACACTGTCAGGCACTAAATATAAACACCTCTCTTAGCGGGGATTTGAACTTTGATTATCACATTGTAAAAAACTAACTCATTCTGTTAGAGCCAATTCTATTGGTATATTTTCTATTTTATAATTGTATATCTCTGCTTCGCTTGTTACGGGCCATTTTTTTAATAAATCATGTGCCTGCCCAACCCATTATGTCATGATAGGCATTCACATCATAATTCTAACATTTTTATTTAGTATTAATATCAATCATTAAGTGCTGCTCAAAAAATATTATTATAATCATTAAGCAGAGTTATTTAAATAAGCTAATCTGTCTATTCTAAATAATAAAGTGCAAATCCATGAGATCCATGAATGGGGAAAAGAAAGCCAGAGATCAGAACCAAAATCTAATGTGCATTAAATATCTACATACCACATAATTGAATAATCCTAGTCATTAAACGTAATGAAAATGCATATGCATCCATTAAATGCAAATTTCAGCCAAAAAAAGCTAAATAAACGCAAATGACTGTTTTGACTTCTGCACCCGAATAGGGATATCCTTTGAATTTTTATTTTTTTGTTATACAAGATATCCTTTGAATTTTACCAAATGTGCACCTAGGGCTGATGACAACTCACCTTGATGATCATGACTCACGACCCTAGGGGTTCAGGTTAGTCGCCACGTGTCGAAAAAGTCAAGACTCGTGTTTGGATGAGCCCAAGCCCCACATGGGAGCGATGCCACCTTGTCCCCATCCCCTATTTGAAGAATTTTTCTTATCAACGTCCCTTATACTCCCCCTGTTTTTAGATATAATTTTAAAGAAAATTATTTGTTTCATTTCATATATTTTTACAATTTTAAAGCAGTATTTTTAATATTTTTCATATTATGCCCTTATTCACCCTAACAACTTCAAAACAACATTTATTAGGTCTCAGGACCAAAATTTGACCGTGTAATCAATAACTTAATTTTATTTCTTAATTTATATCCAAATATCATAAAAGATAGATTTTGACATCAGGGTAAATAATATTATTACAATGTGCACATCGTAAATTGGTGACATGAAATGTTTTCTTATAAATCGAAGTTTTCAAATTTGATCCTACTCCCAATGTCAAGCCATGGCCTCTTAGACTGGACTGAAAAAAAAAAAAATCAATTAGACGTTATAATAAGTTGAAGCTTGATACTTCTCACGGTTAGCTACTCTATTTGAGAGCCACAATTTAAAGTCATCTCTGATTTTGATTAGGCAGCTTCAAAAATGAACTCAAAGATAATACGACTATTCCCAAATGCACTGCGTCATTTCATTTACTATCTAAAATTCCTCTATTTTCTCAAATGTCTTAAAAAGTATCCTATTCAGAGTCTCTTACAATGATAAACTATAACTATGATAATGAGATCAGGCAGACAAGCAGAATCACAAAAGTCACACTTGAACTCCTTTTATTGGGGCATCAATTCATCGTAAGTGGGCATTCTTTTCTTGTTACGCGCATACAGCTAATGTTGACTACCACTATCGGCTCAGTTCCCTGCTACCTTACAAAACTGTCAGTTCAAATTCTACCCCCATTGTAACAACCATAACCACATCAAGTTTTGATACCGGTTCAACTCCAAGAACCCTGGAGATTCATCCAATTAGTTATTTATGTACCACAAGAGCAGGTGTTTCAGTTTTTATGATAAAAATAATTTTGCAATTACATACTCACGTTAGCCGGTGTTTGTTTTCTTTCTTAAAAGGTCAGTAATTATACCATCATTGAAAAATAAGGAGTTTCATTGTTGTCCCACCTGCTATTTTGAACCGTTGGCATGATTCACGGTTTAACTTTGTATTGGTGATTGGTCTATGGGTTTGGGACAGAATTGTTTGTCCCCTGAATGTATTGAAGCTATTGATAACCCTGCCACAACTGCCATAGCAAGCACTCTTTCAGCGACTTAATAGATAAAATTAGGATGCTATTGCATTTCCTGCTCATATGAGTTTTTAGCCTTACAAACTAGTTATGTAAACGTTCTCATAACATACGAAAAAAATTTTGTATCTTTGATCACTCTTCACATTTTGTTCAGGAGGCAAACGATGATGAAAGAACTTAGATTATTTTCTTGTTATATTCATTGCTTTTATTTTCAATAGAGTTTGCTATACAACAGAAGATTAATTCCTCACAAATAGTTTTTTTTCTTTTTTTTTAATGATGACAATGACTTCGAGGTGGAAACTTTTTTACAGTCGACATAAATTCCGTTCGTGATGGATTTCACAGGCAGTCCATATTTAAATAAGTAATCCATTATGTGAAAAAAATAATGAATAGTGAATACTCTTCTACACTATACTCATCAGTATATATCAGTGTATGTAATGAGACGAGATCCAGAGCCAAGGCCAAGACGGATTCTCATTTGGTGAAAAACCGAGTCAAATGTGAGAATCGCTTCTTTACGTATTTTTCCACCCTTCTTTTTGCGGTGGAGGAAGAAAAAGATCGTTTGTCAATTTCACTACCTGTAAGGCTGAAAAAACAGAAGCACGACGCACGAATTGCTCTTGCTCATACGATATCTAGACAGGTCATTGTTATTGGAAAAATAAGTCAAATAAATTAAAAGATCAGTTGTCCATTTCCCCGCTTGCAACCATGCCATTCTGCGCCTTGATTGAGACGATGTGAAGACCTTTGCGCGGCGCAAAAGGGCCAAAAAAAAAAAAATAGGGAGACGATAGGGCGATAAATTAATATAAAGATTTCCCCCAAAAAACAAAATAACCAATTTGTAAGGTGCAGATTCTGGGCCCGATCTCTATTCTTACGGTCTCCCCCTCCCCCCCGGGGCGGCCAACTGACGGTCTTAACTCTTGCTCCCATTTGATTTTCTCAAAGGTACGGCATAGTCTCCTTTTGAAAGTCCGCAAATACTCTTGTTAAATGTTAATGCACCCCTAAATATTTATTTGCTCTCTCTCTCAATTCCTCGTCTTGCTATTATCCTTTTTTTTTCTGTAAAAAAAAATTTATGTGAGTTAGATTCTAGAGATTCACTAGGGCTAGGAAATACTTTCATGCTTAAAAAGTACTTGTATAAGTATTTACAGTTCATCCACCAAAAAAGTCTTTAAATCGGCAGTGGGATTTAAACTCACGACTTTATGGATCATGAACCGACTTTTTACTAATTAGACCAACTCTTGTTAATTGCTATTATCTTTATTTCCTCTATTATCTATTTTATAACACAATCTATTTAATTATCCTACTTCTGCAAAACTGAGGTTAAAGCCCCCTTCAATGACCCCAAAAAAAAAAAACCGGGGTAAGGGGTGGGAGGGCAAAAGGCATTATTTGACCGGGATAATAAAGTAATTTTCAAAGCGATGAACTTCTAGTGCCCTACATCGATAATAAATTAATAAAATAAATCCAGTAGTCAAACTGTGACTGCAATATTGATTGCAAATAGTCTTTGATAAGATTAATTTCAGACTTCACGGGGTAACGCACGAAGTCTTGCGTGTAACCAGGTACAATTGTCTCATGGAGATTCGCATTAAATTCCTAGAAAATGACTAATAACAAAATAAATAGAGAAATTTAGGCCTGCGGATTAGGACCCAAAATTGCGAGTTCAAAACAAAACGGCGAGCAAAGTCTAATTCAAGTCTAGTCCGTCTCTGACGTAAGCCCAATTTGACTTTAAGCATTGAAAGAGAGCATCGAATAACATCCATCCGTCCATCCGTCTGGGCCGTAATTACCTTTCTCATGGCCACAAAGAACGGCCCCAGATCTTCCTCCCCCAAAAAGACTACTGCTCCAGAAGATCCTTCAACCAGACAAGATCAAGTTATCAACTGTATCAATACCATTACACAAGAAAATTATGGAACCCTAACTGGAGCAGATCAGCCATTGGTGCAATTCTTAACCTTTGCATTAGGAAAGGGTAATTGGCTCTGCCCCCTAACATGTGTCTTCTTAATTATGCAACCTACCTGCACGACCCCGTCCATTTCAAGGTCCGTTCATAAAACTATGCTACTATGGTCATGATAATGACTTTCACCGGAAAATTATAACAAATCCTAAGACACTTCCGAGAGCCGTTATTTGTTATGCTCCCGGGATTCAATCGGAGGGGTTATGGTAGCATCCAAGGGAGGAAAGGGGCGTGACGAGTCATGAGGCCAAGGAGATCTTTTACCACAAGGCTATTACTGCCTAAGAAGATCACACTGTTACATCAAAGGAGGAAATCGTTCGCGTCTGACAGGAGGAAAGACGCCAAAAAAGTCATGATTCTCCGGGGCACAAGGGTCTAACACAAGGATGGGAATTTAGGCCATCGACTCCAAAAACCATTTCTCTGCTCTGTTCTCAAAATAGTGCCATCGTCATAAAACATGTGGAATTTTTCTCACGATTTGCCAGACAGCAACATGACCCATAATTCGGAGTCTCAAACAGATTCATTTCCCTCTATTACAGGGTAAATTTTGAGAAACGAAATATTTTACCCAAAAAAAAAAAAACAGCAGCAGCAAAGTACATCTCGTTTTACTTCTTCCCAGAATGGTGTAGGACCACATAAATAAATAGACACCCCTCTAAATTTTTCCAAAATGTGTGTGAATACCAACAATCTCCAGGAAGAAAGACACATGAAATTCCATCACCATATCACAGCCAAAGCAAATCCCTTATCGGTGACAGAAGCGAATGCCATGCACTTCGAAATTGAATGGGGACACGCACAGAGCCATGGAACGCTTAAAAGCGGCGACCTAGATACAACCGAAGCTCACAAACTATGGAAAATACACAGTACACAAATGATTTGGATAAAACCGAGGAGCTTGGATCCTACATATCAGTTTGTACATTAATGAGAGATTAGAAGACACAACACAATAGTTAATACATAGCAATAATTCTTGGTCTACCACCTATACAGAAGCTTCACATAGAGCTTATATTCCAAAACAATGCATTGTTGTCTTGATTCTTCCCGTTAACTACCTATAAAAAGAGATTCTAAACTTCAACCATGCCTTTGGAATTAATTATATACATAGCATCTCCGACTTCTTGCTTCCAAAATAAATCATTACTATTAATCCCCCTGATTCCTCACATTCTATACACAGAGCTGAAGAATCAGAGAAGGTGGCCATAAAAACCCAAAAAGGTACCGCCGATGACCGTAAACAAAAATCAACGCCACTCATCCCCAAATCCACCTACTTCACTTAACCAGCTCCGAAACCCACCCAACATCCGGAGCTCCAGTGGATGTGCTGGGACCCGATGGATCCAGCGAATTCTCTTTGCTTAGTTTTTCAAACATCTTCGCCCTTATGTCTCTTCCAGACTCCACCCTCTCCATCACAGGCTCCTCCTCACAACCCTGATCCCAAAGATCAAAATAGCTGGCCCCAGAACGAGTCGGTGCCTCAGTAGGGGTTGACGGGAGGCTACAGAAATCTGGACGGAGCACCGATCCGCGTGGAGATCCAAAACGGGGAGACCCCATTGGAACATTTCTAGAAGGGGGGAGTGACTTTACCTTTCCAAACTGTAGATTACGCAGAGAAGCCACCATCTCATTGATGGAGCTCGAACCCAGAGAGCGGCTCAGAGACTGTGTCATCGGCGACATAGGAGGAGATTCTGCCGGAGGAGTTGCTGGAGGAGAAATAGAACCCGGAGATGACATGAATGGAAGCGTTTTTGCGCAGGAAGACTCAATCGCTTGCCTGAGAGGAGACCCATCATAGGAGTCCACCGAGTTAGCACTCCTCGGACTCTGCTGAGGAAGGACCCTGAGTTGCTCCGGGGTGTGAGCAAAGAAACAGACCCTGCGGCGGCAACTGGTGCCATCCTTGCATGGCTGTGTACGATAACGGGCTGGATGAAGCCAACACTCAAACACGCCATGAGCAAACTCGCATGCATCCCCCTTCTTGCAATTCCCCTTGCGGAAATCAGGGCATGCAGTACCAGAATAGTGATACTTCCTCGGGTCCCTACGGCGAGCCTTCTCACCAGGATGAGCATAAGGACACTCAGTCCAGTCATGTGACCGGCCCCGTGCACACCTCCTCACCTTGAACTCGAACATGCGGAAATGGTCGCAGGAGTAGGCGTCCACCGGAGCGTCCAAATCTCGACCAAGAATCTCGGAGTCGGAGTCGATATCGGCGTCGTTCGACGGCAGATAACGCTGGAGTGCCGTCAGTGCTTCTTGCAAGTAGTACGGAGAGTAGTCGCCGCCGCTGGCATTGCCATCGGAGTTTGCAGACATGCCACTCATGGAGTAGGGAGAGTACACCTCCGGCATCTGATCATCGATAACCGGCCACGGCGGTATCTGAACCGTCGGATTCGTGTGATGGGGTTCTCCGAGCATCATCGAGGAGGACTATCTTGAATGTTCACAGGAAAAGCGGTATGGTTAAGCCGTTTATAAACTGCCACGAAAGTGGGATTTAACCGTGGTTAGGTTAAGCGTAACCATGGTTGCATTAGATCAATGGCTTGCGAATTTCACCGCGGTTAAATGGAGCGAGGGTTCTAGCGCTCCGAGGAAGAAACGTGACAGACGACGTATGAGTGAGCCACGTGGCCAAACACAAGGTGAGGTGGAAATGACATGGACCTCCTGATCCACGTGGTAGGAGATGATTGGATGGTGATGGAAGATAGGCACCCGGCCTTTTTCCGTTGGACTGTTTGTCCCTGCAACGCCCCCAGTCTTTGGTAGATGAGGGAGTGAATGATGCGCAACACAAGCTTTTTCTAAAAAAAATAAAAAACAAAGGGGAATATTGATGGTACTATTGATAATTTAAAATTAATAATAATTAAAAAAAAAAAAACTGGACGTAGTTTTGATCGGTAAATTGGGATGAATATTATGAAGAAAATCGATGGGCTCAAAATCGTAGAGTTCGAACTTCTGATCTGGGCCAGTGTTGCTGAATAAGTTTAAGCTTGATTGCATCTGTTTATTTTAAATATAATTTGTGGTAGAACTCATTATACCTACTTTCTTTGTATTGTGTAAATTTACTATTAAGAAACTGTTTCAACCATTCCAAACAAGTTTTTTGTCATTTAAGGCCATGAGAAGTACCACATTGCTTTGCTTTTGAATGAGGTTTCTGTCTCGAATTCAAGGGTGACATATTATATTTGTGTGTATGTGAATTAAATATAAAAAATGATATATGATTATTTGGGATTTTATTGATCGACAATACTCAGTCCATCCACTATAAAACAAGAAGCCATATTGTTTGGTTTTGTTAATCTCAATGGAATCTATTCAATTTATGAGTGAGCGTTGGGTATCCGCAAAACTCTTCTCCAAATTAATCTTTATAGATATAACCAATACTTATAATCGGTAAGAATATTTTATGAAAAATATTACTTATTTATTACAAATAATTAATTGTTTAATCCACTCAAATTAATCAACTAACTTTTATATTAAAAACCGAAAATAATATAAAACATATACATAACGCGGTTCATTTATTAGTGAACTGAACGTTTTGTATCCGTCTGGCTTACAACGGGACAAGCATCCCTAGATTGGGCATTCATCGTTTTATTTTAAATTATTAGGTAAAAACTGCCGCGAAATACAAACGGTTTACGAACGCCAGTTGTGTCTCTCTGTTTCTTTTTTTGGGTCAGAGAACATCTACTGTGTCTAATCTTCTTTAGTCACTCGCTCATGCGCTTCACATTAAATGGGACCCTTCGACAAACCAAAAAGAGAAAACTATTTAACAAGATACGTGGGTTACTATTATTGTTAATTCCTCAGAGTTAACCTTATTTCAGTCGGAGTTATGGAATTTGAAGCAAATTATTAGTTTCAAATTTTAGGAGTCAAAATTAAAATTAGGTCGAATTTTAAGATTTATAAATTATATTAATCTAAAATACAATTGAAAAACGTTTATGGGTAAAATGAGCCCTATCGGTCAAATCAAGCAGTCAATTATAATATTTTTGTGCTTGTTTGAAGATTCTTAATATAAACACATTCATGTAAATTAAGATAAAAGTCCATTTATGTAATTATTTTGTATTTGATAAATCATAACAAAATAAAAAAAATAAAAGAAATACTTTCAAAATTAAAATATTATATACAGGAACTTGTTTATAAAGATTGTTGTCATTTGTTTATTAATTACTGTTAAAACTAATATTAATACTGTAATGAGTCTCTATTTACAATTTTTTTTTATTTTCAGTGTCCTTTTTTACACTATTACAAAAAATGTCATTTTCGTCTGTTTTTTAAAACAGGAGAAAAAAGATCACTATGCTCGTCTGTTAAAGCCTAACAGACGAGTATGCAAATATATACTCGTTTATTAAGTAACGGACAACAAACTTTTTACTTTAAATTTGAATTTTCAAAACATAGTGCCATTTTTTCATCAAATCAGAGTGAACTAGTAGCAGTTTCTCTTTTTCTCCTCTCCTCCTCTGCCGCAAGCTTCCTCTTCCTCTCTTCTCATGCAACAACCAACATTCTTCTATACTCTCCTCCTTGGCCTGTGACAGCTCATCCTCTTTTCTTTTTCTTGACAATGCAATAGCTTGACGACACAGTGAACTCTATGCCTAGCCTCTCTTTTCGATGGCAGATAGGTACTCCTCTCTTCTCTCGTGTGCTTGACAACACCATTTTCTTCTTTTTCTAGGGCTTTAGCTTTGCAGGAAGCAAAGTAAATTACGTGATTTGGTGTTGAATGTTTTGGTTGTATGGGACTATTATATGGGTGTTGAAGGTGATTGTTTGGATATTTTGGTGTTGAAAATTTTTTATTTAAATTGATTGTTAGTGAATAATAGTTTTTGGAAAGCAATGATAGTGATTGAGAAAGCATATTAAGATTAAAAGCTTATTAAACTTGTTTAAATATTAATGCACATAAAGTGTCTGTGAAAACGTCTAGGAGAGAAATGTTGTTAGAATATGAGAATATGATAGTTAATTAAGTGTCCTTAATGTTTAATTTTCATATTAAATTTTAGAAAGGTATGAGATTCTAAAAGTTAAAATATCTATTTAAATAAGTTAGGATGTTACTCCTCCGGTCCTTAATATAGGACCCAATTATTGAGTTGGTTTTGATCATAAATATAAGACTCATTTCTCGTATTTATCAATTTTCTCTAAATTACCCCTATAGATACTCCCTCAACCATAATCAAGTAGAAGAGAAAGAGGGGGTATTAAGAAAGATGATGATAGTATTTTCGGAAAAATGTGTCACGTTTCTTATAATTAACTAACTTACCTAACTTCCTTAATCAAATCAAATTAGTTAAGTGGGTCTTATATTAAGGACCGGAAGAGTATTAGATTTTCTAGTTTTAAATTTTGTTGTGTTATATGACTGAGTTAAGGTGTTTAATTTTTTTTCCTTAACTAAGTTAATTTAGATGTTATTGTTGTCACTTGCTTTGACTCATGAAATTGTGGTTTGTATGGAAAGTGTAACATGATATGGTTTTGTTGAATTGTTGTCATTATTACTTTGTTTTCATTTTGCTTTATACACTTTAGAATTATAGGTTATAGTAAAAACTAATAACATAAATAATTTCACTTAAAAAAAAATCACTACATTTGTCTATTCTTGAAACATACAAATATATAATTTCTATCTAAGTCTTCTTTATCTACGTTTCCCTTTAAACAAACAAAAAAAGGCCTTTAGGATAGACGAAAATGGATCTTTTTTTAGTAGTATTACTATTTTTTCATAAAAAAACTGTTTTTAATTTAAAATATACTTCTCATCAATTACATTATTACTGGTATTTTCAATTAAATATTGGGACAATTATAATGAGATCGTTACAAAATATGTTTCAGAAGTTGTTATTTTTTACTCCCACCGAACAGTAAGAGATTAATCTTTCGGGATACTGTCAAGTGTCGCAGCGGGGATTCCTTCTTACAATGTTTGTTTCATACATACCACCCCAAGGATTAAACTCAGGACATGGTATTTAAAATGTCTAAGTTCCTTTCATTTGAATCAACACTTGTTGGTAATTCTCCTTTAAATATTTACTTATATGTATTTTAGAATCATTTTTTGGTTCACCAAAATGAATATTATATTTGTCGTGATTCAATGTTTAACTTACTTTATGTTGCTGGTAAAAAAAAAAAACTTACTTTATGTTGGTCCGATAAAAAAAAACGATCCTTTTTTTAAAAACAAGCAGATCGATGCTTAGAAATTAGCAAGTGATTTATTTATAATCGCAAGGCACGGGGGCAGGAAAGGTAATGCTAATTTCAACCCCAAAAAAAATTTATAAAAATCTTATATTTATGATCAGAAGAATATCATTTTATTTTATTTTTTTTGCCAGAAAAGTGTCCAGGCATCTGAAGGAAGGGAAAGACGTATTTATATTGAAAATAAATTAATGATCGCGACGTACAAGCAATTAAGAGAGACGGGCAATTATTTTATATTTGTCCCACGCCGCCCCATACTATTGAGTAGAGAGTTTGGCGAGAGTAAATGAAACGATAGCCACTGCTGGTCAAAAAGTTAAAAAAAGAATGAAACGATAGCCCCAGAGCCTGGGATCACACGAGGGCGGCTTCACGAAGCTTCTGATGAGGTCTAGAGAACTCAAGAAATCATGTTTATCATTTCATATAACAAGAAATTCATCAAACGCCAAACTTTCACTGCGGGCCTCCGTCACATTCGGTCTCATTTAGTACGGAACACTAAAAATAAAAAATAAAAAATAGAATTGAAAAAATTTATTAAAGATTTATTATACATGATTGGACAAATTGATGTATATGGATTTGAGAAATAGCATAGAAAAAAGTGATATTTTCCTATCCAATATTTATAGGTTGAACTAATCTTATATAACAAGCAATTATTCATCTTAAATACTTTTTTAATAATTTTTCTTAAATGTAATATAGTTTTTATTTTTTATTTTCAATGTCTCGTATCAAATAAGATTTTTAGATCATATTTTTTTATTTTTAATGTTTCATATTAAATGACACCTTTAGATCATGCTTGGATAAGAATCTCAATAGTAGCTCGGACGGGAAAGCCTAAAGCATCATTTGCATATATGCGTCCAAAAAAGTGTGTGTGAAATTATATTTAACTTGCTTAAAATCAATTTTTTTCCCTCTTTACTATATTTTGAAGCATACAAGAATTCTCATATTCCAGGCAAAAACAAAAATACAAAAGGAAACAAAGGAATTTGCTCATATCCAAAGCAGGCACATGACAGAATGTATTATAGTCTTCGTTATTAGACACGGATATCTAGCACTGTAGGATACAAAGTTTGTGTACCTCACCCAAAAAACATTTAAAAATTGATTTAGTACG